GGGGGGGTGGTAGTTGGGGAGGGATATGTGGGGACTGGCGGCGGCGTGGACGCCATCGACCAGGAGGACGACCTCGCCTGCGGCGGACGGGCGGAAAGCGACGCGCAAACCCCGAAACTGAAGCGCGCGAGCCCTCATCGCGCCGGTGGCGCGGGGAAGGGCCCGCGCAACAAGACTTGTGTTCACGAAGTGGCCATCCCCCCGACTTACGATGCTTCCGCCCTCCCCAGCCACGTGTACGGGGACATCGACAACCCGCGCTACTCTGGGCCGCGCGCCAAATCGTATGATTTTGAGCTTGATCCGTTCCAAGAGGTCTCGATCTCCTGCCTAGAGCGGCAAGAGTCCGTCTTGGTGGCCGCGCATACATCAGCTGGAAAGACAGCCGTCGCTGAGTACGCCGTCGCCATGGCTTTTCGGGACAAGCAGAAGGTAATCTACACCTCCCCTCTCAAGGCACTGAGTAATCAGAAGTACCGGGAGCTCAGCCAGGAGTTCACCGACGTCGGGCTGATGACAGGCGACGTGTCAATTCTGCCGGAGGCCACGTGTGTGGTGATGACAACGGAAATTCTGCGTGGGATGTTGTATCGAGGAAGCGAGCTGTTGCGAGAGGTAGCGTGGGTCATTTTCGACGAAATACACTACATGAAGGACAGGGAGAGGGGGGTAGTTTGGGAGGAGAGCATCATCTTTCTCCCGCCGGAAATGAAGATGGTCTTTCTCTCTGCAACCTTGTCCAATGCGGCGGAATTTGCGGGATGGATTTGTCGTTTGCGAGACAAGCCTTGCCACGTCGTCTACACGGACTATCGCCCAACGCCTCTTCAGCACTATGGCTTTCCCGCTGGCGGCGCCGGACTCTACCTCCTTGTCGACGAAAGGGGATCCTTCCGAGAGAACAACTACGACAAAATGATGAGCACTTTCTACCCCGACGCCGCCGATGGTCCTTCCACCACTGCCAATGAAAATAACGGCAACACTGACCTTTCCAACCTGGACCACCACCACCCGTCTCACCATTCTCAAGCTACCAACGGTTCTTCGATCAACGGCCAGCCCGCAGGAACCAGAGGAGGAGGAGGAGGAGGAGGAGGAGGAGGAGGAGGAATGGGGGGGAAAGGGGCAGGCGGGGGGTATCCTATCGCTGCTTCGCCGGGTAATCAACACGCGGGACCGGGGAAATCGGCGAGAAGCGTTGGCTTTGCAGGCGGCGGTGGGAAAGGAGGTGGAGGAGGAGGAGGAGGAGGAGGAGGGGGAGGAGGAGGAGGATTAGGAGGGAAGGGTCATCAACAGAAGTCAGCGGAGACGAAGCATGATATCCATAAGATTGTGAAGATGATTATGGACCGTCAGATGCATCCGGTGATTGTGTTCAGCTTCAGCAGAAGGGAGTGCGAGCTGTTTGCAATGCAGTTGGCAAAGCTTGATCTGACGTCTACCGACGAGAAGGAGTGCATCGAGGAGGTATTCCGGAAGGCGGTGGAGGTTCTGCGCGAAGAGGATCGCTCTCTTCCGGCCATCGAGCTGATCCTACCGCTTTTGAAGCGCGGCATAGGTGTCCATCACTCGGGCTTGCTGCCCATCCTGAAGGAGCTGATCGAGATCTTGTTTCAGGAAGGGCTGATAAAGGCGCTGTTCGCGACGGAGACCTTCGCAATGGGTCTGAACATGCCGGCGAAGACGGTCGTGTTCACGTCGGTGATGAAGTGGGACGGCGACGGTCATCGAGCGATGTCGTCGGGGGAGTATATCCAAATGAGCGGAAGGGCGGGGAGGCGGGGGAAGGACGATCGCGGCATATGTATCGTGATGGTAGACGAGACATTCGACAAGGGTCTGGCGAAGGAGATGCTGCTGGGGAAGCCGGCGCCACTGGTCAGCACCTTCCACTTGAGCTACTACACAATCCTCAACCTGATGAGCAGAGCGGACGGGGAGTTCAATGCGGAGTACGTGATCAGGCACTCCTTCCATCAGTACCAGCACGAGAGGGCGATGCCGGAGGTACAGAGGGAGGTGGCGGCATTGGAGAAGCAGGCGGCCGAGATCCCGATTCGAAACGAGGAGGAGGTAGAGGAGTACCAGAGGCTGAAGGACGAGCTGGCCGCGGCGAGCAAGGAGATGATGGCGCAGGTCTTGCTGCCGGAGCGCTGCCTGTCTTTCCTTCAGCCGGGGAGAGTGATCCGCGTGGGGGACGGCGGCGCGAACGACTGGGGATGGGGGGTGGTTGTCAATGTGGTAGCGAGCAACAAGAAGGGCAATGGCGGCGGCGGCGCCGGCGGCGGGGGCGGCGGCGGGGGGGGCGCGGGGGGGAGTTCGAGGCCGACCGCAGCTGCGTCGTATATGGTGGACACGCTTCTGCACTGCGCGCCGCCGACGGCGGCGGCGTCGGGTGCCGGGGTCGGCGGCGGAGGGCGGGGGGGCGAACGACCGCGCCCCTGTCCGCTGGACGAAGCGGGGGAGATGCACGTGTTGCCCGTGCAGCTCCCGCTCGTGGCCGAGATCAGCTCGCTGCGCGTGGTCGTTCCGCAGGACCTGCGCCCCAGCGAGGCTCGGGCCAACGTCCTCAGTGCTGTCCGCGGTCTCCTCCGCCGCTACCCCGAGGGTCTCCCGCGTCTGGATCCCGTCCACGACATGAAAATCCGCGACGTTCCCTTCGTCAATCTCGTCGAGAGAGTGGAGGAACTCGATGTCACTGTCTCTCGCCATTCTGTTCATCGCCGTCGTGGTACTGCTAGTGTAGGCGGAGGAGGAGGAGGAGGAGAAGAAGGAAGCTTGAACCTGACGGCGTTTCAGCGGAGAGCGCAATTGCAAGCGGAGGCGCAGAAGCTGAGAATGAAGATGAGAGAATCTCAGCTGCATATCTTTCGGGACGAGCTGAGGAGCCGGTCTAGGGTTTTGAAAAGACTTGGGCAAATCAATCAAGAGGGAGTGGTGCAGCTCAAGGGAAGAGCGGCGTGTGTGATAGACACAGCGGACGAGGTGTTAATCACCGAGCTGATGTTCAATGGGTTTTTCAACGACCTAGACAGCCATCAGGTCGCAGCGCTGATGAGTTGCTTCGTGCCCGTGGAGAAATCGAATGAGCAAGGCAAGCTGCGTCACGCGTTGGCAAAGCCCTTGGCTGTGCTTCAGGACATGGCCAGACGGATTGCCACTATACAGAAGGAGTGCATGCTTGAGGTGGATGTAGATGAGTACGTGGAGTCTTTTCAGCCGACCTTGATGGATGTGGTCTACCATTGGTCCAAGGGGGCGACTTTCGCGGAGGTCTGTGAAATGACCGATGTGTTTGAGGGTAGCATTATTAGGGCTGTGAGGAGATTAGACGAAGTGTTAGGTCAGCTCAGGATTGCCTGCAAGGCCGTGGGCGAGTCCGAGCTCGAGAAGAAGTTTGAGGAAGCATCTGACCGCCTGCGCAGAGGCATCATGTTCGCAAATTCGTTGTATATCTAACAGTACCAGAACGCAATTTTTGTTGGCAATCAAGAATTAGAGAGAGCCCTAATTCGTTGTTGTTTTGGTTTCAAATTTGGTGTCGGTTTATATCAATTAATCAGTCTGTCGATCAGTCGATCAATCACTTAGTCAATTCGTCGATTAACTAATCACTCAAGGTTTGTGTTGTTCCCTGTCTCGCTTGACAAGCTCGCATACCCTGTCGGTCATCTGATCCATGCATACTCTTCTAATCCGCGAAGGCGATTAGTAGTCAGGCAATCAATCCACTAATCAATCTACTAATCAATCTACTAATCAATCTACTAATCAATCNTCAATCAATCAATCAATCGATCAATGCAATCGATCAATCCGCGAAGGCGATTAGTAGTCAGGCAATCAATCTACTAATCAATCTACTAATCAATCAATCAATCAATCGATCAATGCAATCGATCGATCAATGCAATCGATCGATCAATTTATGAATCATTGAATCGATCAACTGAGCGATCAATCAATCAATGCAATCGATCAATTGGGCAAACAAGCAATTGATCTGTCAAGTGATCAATCAATCAAACTAATTAATTGATGCACACAGCGAATCTCTAATCAATTTAGATAATCTCCGACCATTCGATGAAGGCGAATGCCGGCGCCAGCGCGTGCCTGCCCAAGATGTCCCTGGCCCTGACCTTAGCTTCTTGCATTCCCTCGAACAGAAGGCATGGGCATGATGATGAAGGAATTCTGAATGGTGCTGTCCGGTTATGATGGCTAAGGAGCTGCGCGGTGTGCCCATGCCCCTTCCACTGGGGAGAATTTGCCGGTACTTAGTCGATCGATGTATTACATCGATCGAGAGAGAAGATATTTAGATAGGGAAGCGATCCATGAGGGAGAGCTATGTGGGAGTCTTTACTGCAAATGATCTTCCCCCTTTCTGCCTCGTCGTTGATTGACGTCATCTTCATTTTGATTGACGTCATCTTGATTGCCATGCCGAGCAGCCGTCCATGGCTGTGCTCCTCTCTTTTTAATGTAAAAGACATCCTCACCGGGCCTTGATGGGTCGATTGATTGATTGATTGATTGATTATCATTGTATAGCTGATGATTGATTGATCGGTTTATTTGATTGATTTGAGTGATTGGTTTGATTGATTGATTGAGTGATTGATGGATGGATAGAGTGATTGATTGATTGAGTGATTGATTGATCAATTTGTTATTCTCCGGACGTTCGGACTGGAGTCTAATGTTCGAATGCAGGATTGGTTGATGGTTTGATTCACAGTGATTATCGATAGAGGAATAGCTCTTCATTGATGAGTTATCAACTGATACTTCGGCTGAACTATCGATCGCTACTTCATTGAATGATCGATGGCTATCTCAATTGAATGATCGATGGTTGCCGCATCTGAACAGTCGATTGATTAATATCGATTAGTATTTCGATTCTATTTGCTGTAATTATCGATAGAGGAACAGGTTCGATCGATGGGTCAATTGATTGATAATTTCGTATCGTATACTGATCCTTCGGCTGAACTCTCGATCGATTATCGATTCTTATTAAGTCGTAATTGGACGATCGATTGATTAATTGTCTGATCCATTTGACTGACTGATCGTTCGATTTAATGAATGACTCGCTAATCAATTGAACGATCGGACAAAACTTGGCGCGCTGCAGAGCTCGGCGTCGGACAAAACTTGGCGCGCTGCGGATATCGGCGTCTGACAGGACTCGGCGCGCTGCAGAGCTCGGCGTCGGAAAAAACTTGGCGCGCTGGGGATATCGGCGTCTGACAGGACTCGGCGCGCTGCAGAGCTCGGCGTCGGACAAAACTTGGCGCGCTGGGGATATTGGCGTCTGACAGGACTCGGTGCGCTGCAGAGATCGGAGTCGGACTAACTTGGCGCGCTGCAGCAAGCACTGGTGGTGTCTGATCCATTTCACTTTGCTGATACCCTTGTACTATTGATTGGCACACTGACTGATCGATTGATGATGATGATGGTATTCATGGTCCTCTCCTGTGTGTTTCATTGTCCTTCTTTGTTTGTTTCTTTCCTTTCTGGGACGTGTATATGCCTTTTCACAATCCTCGAAGTGAAATCAAGATGGAAGAACCAAGGGTTGCTGATGTGCCTATCTATCTATCTATCTATCTATCTCTCTATGTGTTTCTCTAGTTGAATCATTTGCTCTCTGACCGAGTCATTTGATCTGCTATTTGGCACATTATGCGACATATAAATGCATCGCTACATTCTTTCGCCGAATACAACGTACGATCATTATAGCTGTATTTAGACTGAAAGATACCGACAAATACCGCTAAAATAATGACCGTACGTTGTATTCGGGGTAAGAAGTCTGTCTCGAAACACCGTAAATCGAGCAAGCAAAACTCACTTACAGGTCGCCTTGGGTTTCGATGCCTGTAGCCTCTCTCTCTCTCTCTCTCTCTCTGAGTCAGAAGGGGATAGAGGCTACGGGGGATAGATTCCGACTCTCTCTCTCTTTCTCTCTCTCTCTCTCTCTCTCTCTCCCAAGCACGGATGACTGGCGTGTGGTTGCTGAGGGGCGGAGCGGATGTGGCAAGAGAGGTTCCTGTCTGTTGTTCTCGAATTGGGGAGAGGGGGAAAGTAAATGTATGCTGCATGATGTACTTAACCTCGTGATCTCTAATTGCGGGGGGGGGAGGGGAAGGAGAGAGAGAGAGAGAGAGAGAGAGAGAGAGAGAGAGAGAGAGAGAGAGAGAGAGAGAGAGCGCAAATGTACGTGATTGATCATTTCGTTTGTGCGGGAAAGGATGAATTCGAGGAGAGAATGGAACGCAAGAAAGAAGATCGTTGTAAATAGGAGAGGAGAGGAGAGGAGAGGAGAGGAGAGGAGGGGAGGCGGTAGGAGAAAGACGAAATAGGAGAGGAGAGGAGAGGAGAGGAGGGGAGGCGGTAGGAGAAAGACGCTGTGACAAGCTAGAAGGGTTGGCGGCAGAAGGAAGCCTTTCTTCCGTCTGTCTTTTTTTTATGTTGTCCGGAAGATGTCAATTTCCGTTTTTTTATGTTTGTGCGTTCGTCTGTTGATTTCAGGGTAACGTGTAAGAAGAGCAAATAAATAAATTCTCCTGTTCGATCTTCTTAATCCTCGCGATCCATAATGTAGGAATGACGATACGGGCTCGGAGCAGGAAGCCCTCGATACCATCACCTCCATTTTCCCCTTTGTGAGATCGACGTACAATGCCTCCTCTCCTCTCCTCTCCTCTCCTCTCCTCTCCTCTGTTCCCTCCCCTCTCCTCTCCTCTCTCTGTCTCTCTCTCACTCTCTCTCTCTTCACGAATCTACGATCCTCTCAATTTGTATCTATCTCTTTCTTCTTGGAGCGTCTCTCTCTCCCTCGTCTTCGGAACCTACAACTCTCTTTTGTTCTCTCTCTCTCGCTCTCTCTCTCTCTCTCTCGCTCGCTTGCTCGCTCGCTCTCTGTGTGCGTCTCTTCTCTGTCTCTGTCTCTGTCTCTGTCTCTCTCTCTCTCTCTCTCTCTCTCTCTCTGTCCCTCCTCTCTCTCTCTCTCTCTCTGTCTCTCTCTCTCTGCGTCCCTTCTCTTTCTCTGGTTCTCTCTGTTTTTCAAGTTCTTACACCACGAGTATATCGGAGGCAAAATTCACTAGCCTCGGACCCTGCTCCGCGCCAAGCTTTTTGCCAAAACTCCACCGCGGTGTTTTCGTTTTCTTTTGGCTGGTTGCCGGCCCTGCTGCGCGCCAAGCTTTGCCATTTTGGTCCGTTAGCAGGTAGCACCTGCCCTCAGAACTTTCCGGATTTGGTCCGTTAGCAGGTAGCCTCGGACCCAGCTGCGGTGATTCTCAAGTTTGCTGGGGCACCTGATGTACTTGGCTTAGGGGAACTCCCAACCGGCATCTCATATATAGCGATCTCTCTCTCTCTCTCTCTCTCTCTCTCTCTCGATCCTTTCTGCTTCATGTCTGTTTCTTGTTGTTCAGTTTCTGGACTCTCAACCGAAGTCCTGTATATGGCCTGATTTGAGTGCTTTGTTTTTGGTCCGATGCGTACTTCTCTCGTCATTTGCATCCTTCCCCTGCTTTCCCTCTCCTGTTCATCCGCTTCTTCGATTCGCATATATGTTTCCTCATCGTTTTTTTTTTTTTTCTCGTCGTCCTGCCGTCTCGCTTCTATCGATCGGAATGCCATCAATGTGCATGCGGAATAATACAAGACTCGAACACACAAACAACGGCTTGACAGGCTGACACCCATAACCATAAGGCGAAGCGGGTCGCATGGTGCTGATGACACCTTTATATCCGTGGCTGCTTTATTTTGTACGTTTTCCATCATGATCATCATGTCCGTCTCCGATCCATCCATCCATGGGCCTACACCACTTGTTATCCATCCATCCATCCATCTCATCCATCTATCCATCCATCCATCCATCCATCCATCCATCTCATCCATCCATGCATCCACGCATTCATGTTTCTCTCTCGTCTTTTATTTAACCTTTCCGCACCTCCTCTCTCTGCGATCTCGAGAATGAGGATGATTCTGCGTTTCTGCTGTGTACTCTACCTCCGCCCCTTCACCAGTGAAGAGTCGAACACACAATCAGTTGGTTTATGCTTGAATCATCCCGCTTTGTGCGCGTGCGTGCGCACTGGTTCGCCTCTGTGTGTGCGTGTGTGTGTGTGTGTGTGTGTGTGTGTGTGTGTGTGTGTGTGTGAGAGAGAGAGAGAGAGAGAGAGAGAGAGAGAGAGAGAGAGAGAGAGAGAGATCGCGTTTGTCAGCTTGTCAGTTCTGTTGAGCTCTTTGTTTTAACTGCACAAGGGAGAGGAGGGCCTATGACGTTGGGGCAGCCAAGCGGTGTTGGGTGATGCCTTTTTGTCAATCTTGGACTTGAAGCGATGAGGAGAGCGGCCGGACTATTTTGATGGTGGCAGCACCTGGAAGTCGGCCTGTCTGGTGGTCTGTGGAACGGCCTCTGCTTCCAAGGGGGGGGGGGAGCGCAGACCTGCATTGCGAGATGAGGAGGAGGAGGAGGAGGATGAGGATGTGGCGCGGAGCTGCATTTTGTAATTGTGATTACGTGGCGTACAACAGGTATGTCTGCTGCGACTTTGCCCGCATCTCAGTCTGGTGGCTTGTTTCCAGCTTTTGTGTCGGGTCGGTCTTTCGCTTTTGCTTCTGTTGGAATTTATCAAAAGCGTGCTAGGCCCTATCCTCATTGTATGGATAGGATTCAGCAGGGTTCGGACCCATGATCTGTGGATCTAAAAGTGCATGTGTAGCTACGTCTTCTTAAGTGTGCTTGCGTATCTGTGTTGGTGGGTGTTGCACTATATATCGTCACATGTTGTGACGATATATATTATATATATATTGTCACATGATATATAGATATATGTATATATACATGTAATATATTGTCACATTGTGAATCAGAGCGCAAAAAAAGGGGAAAGAAAAAAGGAAAAGGAAAAAAGGGGAAGGGGAAGGAGGTAAGGAAAGCTCCACCTGTTCATAACCTCTTACGTACAAGGCCAGCCACGTGGATGACAGGTTGAGCGCTGGCTGCCCCCATCCCCGTGTGTCACA